GAGGGTTTGGTACTGTCCTTGGTTTCATGCATCCACTGAGGGGCTTGGAATGTATCCCTTACGGATAAGGGGGACTACTATATTGCCTGTGGACCCTTTTTGCTATAAAGATCCATTTGCTTTAAAATTTATGAATTGTCCCTTCTCGAATTTTCCACTTAATATTTTCGGACCATTGTTGACCTTGGGTAACAAACTGTGGAAAGTTGACCTTATGGCCTGGAAAGCCTAAAACACTACTTAGCCCTTTACAAAAAAAAGTTTGCCATCTCCTGGGCTAGATTCACAGTGGAGTATTCATACTAGAGGTGATAAGAAATGAAGCTGGAGAGGTAGGGTAGGGAAATATTTGTCATTACAATCCATTTCCCATAATGTATTCCCACTAACCACAATTAAGCTTTACTTCACGTACCATGATGTTTAAACTATGATTTCTTCCTCATTGCCCTCCCACACCCACATAAATGGTGTTTGGAGAATCAGTGCAGTAGAATTCTGAAAGCCATCTTAAAGATTTTCAGCTGTTTCCTTAGAGGAAGCATGAAAGCTTTTGAGTTGGAAAGTTGTGATTGGCAAGCATTTTATTAATGAGGTTGGGCTTGTATTAGGTATAACTTACTCATTGGAGTTTAGTACGATTGGCATTTAAAATATGACCAGTACTCAGAAATGAGCAGTACCCTGAAATGGCAATTGAGAAACATGGGTTTGTGTTTTACTACTAATGTTTACCCTGTTTTCTACTTAAAGAATAGTTTATTTTCTCTACTTTGAATAGTTATTAATATAAGATTATGAAGGGGCAATGGTTATATAAAACTGTGGAAAATAAAAAATGCTGTGCCATCATATTGATCCCTTTCGATTCTTTGGCTTTTTGTTATTTGCTTTTATTTCTGGTTTTAATTTACTCCTTTTCCCCTATAACTTCTTGAGATGGAAACTTAGGTAATTTTCAAAAAGCCTTTCCTCTTTTCTAGTGTACATTTAAGCAGAGTTTCAGCCATATTTCGTAAGATTTGCTACTTAATGTTTTCACTGTCTCCAGTGAAAAATATTTTCTCTTTCTCATTGGAATTTCTTCTTTGACCCATAGGTTATTTAGAAGCATATTTTAAAATTTCACATATATGGATATTTTTCTGGTTTTATTGTTTGTTTTTGATATCTTAATTTGCATTGTGAATTTGAAACATACTCTGATTTCAATCTCTTGACATTTGTGTGAGACTTTATGGCATAGAATATATGATCAGTGTTTGTGTACACTCCATGTAACCTTAGGAAAAATTTTATTTTATAGGTACTGAGTTTAGTGTTCATTTCTGTGTCAGTTAAATTATTTGTTAATTGTGTTCAGATCTTCTAAGTCTATTGGTTTTGGTCTTTTATACTGAAAAAGAAAGGTGTGTTTGGATGTCCTCTGATTGTGGATTTGTCTGATTTTCCTTGTAGTTCTGTTGATTTTTGCTTTATATAATTCAAAGATGAAAACAAATCTGGACTTTTATCTTTATATTGTTTTGAATTTTATATCATTGTAAAATGTTTTTCCTTTATCTCTAATCATGCATTTAACTTTAAAATCTGCTTAATCTAATAATTATTATAATATCAGATAGCTTTCTCATGGTTAGTTTTTGCATAGAGTATGGCATATATTTTTTTCCATCTTTTCACTTCAGCCTTTTTTCCCCTTATGTTTAGGGTGTGTTTCTTGCAAGCAGCATGCAGTTGCATTTTATGTGTTTGTCTTCTTAGTCTGACAGTTTCAGTCTTGTAATGGGAACATGAGCTTACTTGCATTTAATTTAATTACTGATATATTTTGGTTTTAATCTCCTAACTACTTTTTGGGTTTTATTTGCCCTCCCTGTTTTGCATTCTTTGCTTCTCCTTTTTTTGCCTTTGTTTAGATTACTTTTGTTATTTTTTCTCCACATTAGAGAATATATAGTAATTATATGTATATTCTCTATTAGTGGTTACCCTACATCAGGGGTGTCAAACTCATTTTCCCCAGGAATGCATCAGCCATGTGGTTGCCTTTAAAGGGCTGAATGTAATTTTAGGACTGATAAATGTAACTACTTCTTAACTAGGGGCAAGGAGCTCTATATTCAGCCCTTTGAAGGCAAACTTGAGGCTGATGTGGCCCCTGGTGAAAATGAATTTGACATCCCTGCCCTAGAGAGTACTACTTTGACTTATCAAAGGCCAACATAAATTTCTAATTTTACCTCTTTTCAAGAAATTCAGAAATCTTAGAATACACTGTAGAGCAAAAGTAGGTTTACAGTTGTTCAAGTGGAAAATAATGTGGTAATACATAATAATGCAAGAATAAACTCTGTATTTTGTATACTCACAACTTAGTTAGTCAGTATTTGCCCCACTCTGTAGTTTATCTCCAAATACCTTTCTTACTTTTATACTATTGCTGTCAAGCATTTTACTTCCGTATGTATTTTAAGCCCTTTGAGACATTATTTTTAAAGTTATTAAAGTTAATAGACATTATTTTTAAGGACAATATTTATTTAGAATTCTCACAAATTACTCTTTGATGTTTATGCCCATATTTCCAGGTTTCCATGTAGCTTATCTTCCTTTATCCTAAATGGCACCAAATAGTATTTAATTTATATCTGCTGGTAGTAAATATCATAGTTTTTTTTTTTTTTTTTTTGCTTTTCTTTCTCACCTGAAATGGTCCTTTTTGTTTCATATTTATTCTTGAGTTGGGTATAGAACTCTAACTTGACAGTTATGTTCCTTTATTTAAAGACATTCTTTTGATTTCTGGTTTCCGTTTTTCCTGATGAAAACTTTCCTGTCAGTCTAACTGTTGGTCTTTTGTAGGTCATCTCTACCTATTATCTGATTTTAAGATTATTCTCTTTTCTTTGGCTTCAGCAATTTTGCTGTAGTGTGCCTCAAAGGTGATTTTTTAAAATTTATCTTTTGGTGTTTTTTTAAGATGTAATAAATTTATAGTTTAATCTTTGATCAGCTTCAGAAAATTCTCACACTTTATTTTTTTAGGTATTGGCTTTGGGGCAATGTTCTTCCACTAGAATTCTGGTTCTACATCAGCCCTTCTGACATTCCCTCTTTTCCTCACAGTCTCCTGCCTTGGCATCCCTTCATCTCTGTGCTTTTATTTTCTTGTTCCTAGTTCTCTATTCAGCTGTATGCCATCTGCTTTTAAAGCCACCCACTGAGTCTTTCGGTTCTAGAATGTACATTTTTTTTCTCTTGTAGTTTCTGATTCTTTAATTATCAAAATTGTTTTTTAATTTATCCGAACATACTAAGTGTAGTTATTTTAAAGTCGGTATCTGGTGAGGGTATTTTCTGGACCTTCTGTTGGGCTTTTCTATCAGGTCTTATTTCTCTTGGTTTTTATGTTATGGTTTCTTGTTTTGTCTTCTGTTATTTTTTATTGGATGCCAAACATCATATATGAATAATATAAAAATAATTTGAGCCTTAGTATGATAACATCTTCTAAATAGTTTTTGTATTTGCTTCTGGCTCTTGATTATGTAAATGAGTAATCCTGGATTACTTTAATATTGAGATGATTTTAAATTGGATTTTCATTCCTCTGATGGCTAGTGTGCAGTTCACCTTAACTTCTAGAGTTTAGACCTTCAGAGCTATAGCCTGAAGTATAGGGGGATTTTAAAGTTCCCTTCCCTGGTGGGTTCTAGACTCCAGTTTTCTTATATAGTCCTATAAGGTTGTCAAAAGCTCTGCTCAGTTTTTCATCTGCCTCTTCCAGAATTGGTAGAGACATTTGGGGGAACCTTTTTCAAATTGTGGGTTTTATATCTCTGATTTTTTTTCTCCCAGTTATTGTCCTCTTGTTAGCTCTTACATGACGTAAAACTGATTTTTTAAAATACATTTTTCAGCATGAACTGCGTTGTTTGTACAGTGAGCTACCCTTATCATTTAGGAAAAGTTTTGTCTTGAAACTGTTTCCGCAGTAGGTTCCCAGATGGCCAGCCAGTGGCATTGCAGTTGATAGTTGTCTCAGCCAGCTATGTTAACTCTTTTTCTACACACATGCCTAAAATGACTCACTGTTGAAATTTTCTGTAAACAATGTACATGAACATCAAAGGTCTGTGTGATCATTTTTGTTTTGATACTTAGTAAAATGTTTATAATTAAACGTAGGTAGCTAAAATACTTGGGTGGTTATAATGTCTTAATATGTTCCACACAGGTCTTCACTAATGTGCCAGTGCCTGTTGTCAGTTTAATCCATATGTGGGAAGAACAAACCAGTGTTAGAACATTTAGTACATCTAAAAAGATGGTTTAAAAATTACAATGGGAAATAATCTATTGTGAAATGACACTTCAGATGTCTCCTTTTAAAATTCATATTGAACTACCCACATATTTTTCAGATTTCACTGGATTTGTTCTTCTTCTGGGAGCTTTTTGAGGAAAATACTTTGTTACCAAGAATTTTTGACTAAAACAGTTGAAGTTCTCTTGGCAGTCAAAAATAAGGAAAAAATACTTGTTGTCTGCAATTAAAATTAAATTGGGGAATCTTAAATATTATAGACTAGGTTTCTCATTTCCAAATTTAGAAGCCCACTCAGAAAGTTAAGTGACTATCAGCAAAACTGTGAATAGTTGATTAATTTCATCAGTTTTTAGTTTTAAAATATGCACTTGAAAACATTATTTAAAAATACCAGGAGGCCATGGACTAATTTTGAATTTCATCTTTGGGTATCTTTTCATGCCTAATTTGGTTATTTCATTTATTCAACAAATTTAATGAGTATCTCTTTAATTCCTACTGTGTATCAGACACTAGCTTTAGGACCTGGGGATCATTTTTTTCTTTTTTTTAATCAAATTAAAGTATGTCACATCAAAGGTGGTTTGGAGCTGCCTGTGTTTCTTTAGGTTCTAAGGCATGTGTTACACTGTATCAATATTTTATCTTTTTTCCCCCTCCCCTTAAGGTAATACTGCACTGCATGATTGCGCAGAATCTGGAAGTTTGGACATCATGAAGATGCTTCTTATGTATTGTGCCAAGATGGAAAAGGATGGTTATGGAATGACTCCCCTTCTCTCAGCAAGTGTGACGGGTCATACAAATATTGTGGATTTTCTAACTCATCATGCACAGACCAGCAAGACAGAGCGGATCAATGCTTTAGAGCTTCTGGGAGCAACATTTGTAGACAAAAAAAGAGATCTACTTGGGGCTTTGAAATACTGGAAAAAGGCAATGAACATGAGATACAGTGATAGGACTAATATAATTAGCAAACCAGTACCCCAGACACTAATAATGGCTTATGATTATGCCAAGGAGGTAAATAGTTCAGAAGAGCTAGAAGGTCTTATTGCTGATCCTGATGAGATGAGAATGCAGGCGCTGTTAATTAGAGAACGTATTTTGGGTCCTTCTCATCCTGATACCTCTTACTATATTAGATATAGAGGCGCTGTCTATGCAGACTCTGGAAATTTCAAACGATGCATCAACCTATGGAAGTATGCTTTGGATATGCAGCAGAACAATTTGGACCCTTTAAGCCCAATGACCGCTAGCAGCTTATTATCTTTTGCAGAACTGTTCTCTTTTATGCTGCAGGATAGGGCTAAAGGCCTGCTGGGCACCACTGTTACATTTGATGATCTTATGGGCATACTGTGCAAAAGTGTCCTTGAAATAGAGCGCGCTATCAAACAGACTCAGTGTCCAGCTGACCCTCTTCAGTTAAATAAGGCTCTTTCCATCATTTTGCACTTAATTTGCTTGTTAGAAAAAGTTCCTTGCACTCTAGAACAGGACCATTTCAAAAAGCAGACTATATACAGGTTTCTTAAGCTGCATCCAAGGGGAAAGAATAACTTCAGCCCTCTTCATCTGGCTGTGGACAAGAACACTACATGTGTAGGGCGGTACCCTGTTTGTAAATTTCCATCTCTGCAAGTTACTGCAATACTGATAGAATGTGGTGCTGATGTGAACGTCAGAGACTCCGATGACAACAGTCCCCTACATATTGCTGCTCTAAACAACCATCCAGACATCATGAATCTCCTTATCAAATCAGGTGCACATTTTGATGCCACAAACTTGCACAAACAAACTGCTAGTGACTTGCTGGACGAGAAGGAAATAGCCAAAAATTTGATCCAGCCCATAAATCATACCACATTGCAGTGTCTTGCTGCTCGTGTCATAGTAAATCATAGAATATATTACAAAGGGCATATTCCAGAAAAGCTAGAGACCTTTGTTTCACTTCATAGATGATAATTTGACTGTATTTTAGCACTGTCAAAGCACGAATTGTTAACAGTTGTTTCATAAATGAGCACTGTTGTGATAACACCAGCATTCGTTTAGCTTGATATCATCGTGCTCTCATTAGCTAAAGCATTATAAGCATCAAATTTACAGGATTGGTTTCCCAGTATTTAATATAAATACCCCATATAATATATTGTTTGTGAATTATTGAGAAATGTAATGTCATATTCAGATTTTAAAAGTTGTCTGCCAAAGGCTTATTCCGGTTTTCATTCTGGTTTTGCTTGCTGTTGGGTGTTCAGGACCGAGTTAACCATTCTTCAGTGGTGTCTGTATTGTCCTGGTTTGTGAATTTTATACAATTGAAGGTCTTTCTTTTTTTGCTTCTTCCTTCTCTTCTCCAAGCTTCTCTCGTTTCCACTTCATTTTTTCCTAACCATTGCTTATCATTCTCTACCCCCACCCCCTATGGACCCATGCTAGGTCATACAGACTTTATGGACTTGTTACCATTTGCAGTTACCATAAGTGCTTTATCTTCTCTACGCACTGGCTTAAACTTGACTGTTGTATGATAGCATATTTTCTATGCAGCAGTTGGTCAACTTCAACTCAAAACACTGTTGAGTTTGTTACAAAGTTCATTTTATGAAAGTACTCTTGTAGCATGAGTTTTTAGAGCTATTGGTTAGCTACCTGAGCTCCAGCTTCCCCCCCATCACCCGACATCTGAGATTTCTTTCTCTAATCCACTGAAATTATTGTGTGCTAAATTTGGGAAACAAATCTATTCTAACTCATTAACCCAGTTGAAATTTAGGTCTGTCATCTTAATATATCATGCACTAAAAGGAAGAATCTTTTTAAAGTGACCCACCTTTCATGCTATGCCAGCATTGTCTTGCTTGTGCTGATGATGTGATTAGGTATAGAGAATTTGCTTAAATTTAACCTAAAGTTTATCACGAAGCTTAATGAGTCACATTGAAATATTCAGTAATTGAACTGCAAATCACCTTTAGTTACAAAAAGAGCTAAAGCATGTCAGTGGCATGATGCTTGCCAAGCCAGATCTAGGCATCTAGGATAATTAAGGTATTTAAGTATGCAATTTACTGCCATAGTATCAACAGTCAGTAAGTGTTCTTTCTTTCTTCAAGTTTTAGTATACCTTTAAAGATAACTTGCATGAATTACTTTGGTCTCAATTATTTGTCACTGTAGTTAAACATAAAAGGTTGCAGTGCTTCCTTTTCCCTTACTGAAAGTTAGCTTTTCTTTTTCTTTCTTCTTTTTTTTTTTTATGTATGTGTTTTTTAAACAGCTTTGCCAATGCCACAGAAAGGGCTCTTTTAACTTAAGATACGTGGAAAGTACTAAAAAAGATTCAGGTAATTATCATTCAGCACTTTATTATTCAAAATAAAATTTATGATGGCATATTTGCCCTACAAATGTCTTAATAAAATTGTTATGAATAAAAAGACTTTATTGGTTTGAGAAAAATTCATTTTTACCTGTGAGCTTGATGAGCTGGATTACTTGGATTTTTGTGTTGACATTTTATTCTGAGGGTTGATGAAATGGTATTTAGGGAGTCATCATTGCAAACAGCCACATTAGGTTTATTTCACCTTTATTCAGTAAAAGACTGTAATGAAGAGTAGTAAATAAACAGAACAGCATTTGACTTTCTGGTTAAATAATTAAAGTTTAATTTTTAAAAAGCTATCCTTATTTTACTAGGTTGTAAATTTAATTTCACCATTGACAAATTTGAATTGAATATAAATGATTGCTCTCCAGCCTTTTGATGAAGGAATTTCAATCTTACTTACCATGGGCAAATTTGATGAAATATGAACTGCCACATATATTAAAAATAACTTGTGACTTGGACAAATAGCTAGAAATATCAGACATCAGTATTTTGAAGTCATTGACATTAACCATGTGGTATAAGAATTGTATATGTATGAGCTACTTTTTTTAAAAAGCCTTTGCAAGTAGAATAAATCTGCATTAGTTGATCTCAAATTTTGGGTAAAAGATGAGCAATTAGATTTTTAAGTGATTTAATATTTCCTCCTCCTCTTTTGGGAAGGGGTAGGAGGACCTACATGCTCTTACAGGAAGACACATCTCACACTGTTTTACAGGTGAACTTGAATTGTGCAACTCTAGTATAAAATAAGGATTTCTTAGCATTTTTCTACTGCTCAATTATAGATAACTTAGAATTGTTCCTCAGTCTTGATAACTGAAATGCCTTATTTCATTTAGGATACAGTTCTCTTGTTTCCCATCTCTGCAAATGCCATTAGGAGTGCTTGAAAAATTAGTTTACTAGCTTAACATTGTTAATTTTTTTGTTTTAAAGGAGGTTTGGTAAATGTGACCTTGGACACTGTTTAGGCCTTCGTCAGAAAGTATTCTTAAAGTTGTTGGGAGAAAGAATAAAATAAAATTTTTGTTATTTTTTAAACCAAAGATGAGTAATTTAATATTTAATGAGATAATTGTACTCATTTGAGTCAATCTAAACTTTACACTGTCGCATGGTGATGTTGGCTGAAGTTAAGATCTAAGTTCTGATTACATTTCAATAAAAATGCCCTGTTAAGGCCTGCTGCATTTTAGATGTTCCACCAGTGATCATTTCTGTAAAAGAAGTGGTCACTTCACTCAGATTCAGTACCATTCTATAAAGACAAGTAGATGACAGATTTTAAAGATTGCATTTTCTTACCCATAGATATGACAGGCATATAAGCCCAAGTCAGCAAAAGATAATTTGGTATGATTTTAAAGTAAGTAATTGCTCACTTGTAAGTGGCTACCTAGTGTATAATATTTTACAGACCCCCCCACATCTACAGTGAGTTGGAAAAAATATCAAGTCATATTTGAAGAAGTAGCTCTTTAAAATCATATTACCCAGGCAGAAACCTTAGGTTGAATTTTACAGGTATAATAATCTTTGTAAATTAATTTTATCAGAATTTTGGGGGCTGAATGAGATAATATTCTTGTGCAGTGTAACAGCATTATTGCTTGGAACTTTAACCATTTTAGAGGTAGATACTAAGGAACTAAAATTAATTGCTCATCTTTTTTTTTGCCCTTATAACTAGTTTCTCTCCCTTTTGTTAGTTCCCATTGTGTATTTTTCAAAAGAAGTACTGTATTCAGGTGCCAGCCAATAAGTTGTCACACAATGGAAAATGATATGCCACAACATTCATTGTAAGGTTTAATAAAATTACATTTGCACCAAATACAAGTGTATTATTAACTTAATATTTGATTGATGTTACTTTAATGCTTTTGATAGTGGACTCTGCTTCAAAAACACCTAATTTATGGTCAGTTAGAACTTTAGATAGCATTTATTATTGTTAATACTTCTATGTAAAAAGATTGTTTAGGCACAGTTTATTCTAAATTTTTTTCCAGTAAAGATCACAGAAGCTAAAGATGGGAAGACTTCTGTTGTTAAGTGCATGGGAGAGGAATTGCTTTCAACTTGTATTCATGTTTTTGTTTTTTTTAACTGGTTTGGTATTAAGTATCAGAAGTTGTCATAAGTATATTACTATAAAGGTAAGTTTTATAAATTTTTATCACTTTTAAATCATAATTGGGCTGGCCAAAAAGTTTGTTTGGTTCATTTGGTTTTTTCCCTACAATGGCTCTAGTAGTGCTTAGTTGTCTTTAACTTCATTTGAAACAATTTTAAGATTGTATAGTGACAGTTGTCACTATCAGTGTACATTTTAAAAAATGAAAATTGGTGAATTTTTGTGTATCCATTTTTATATTGAAGATGGAAGAAAATATGCAACATTTCTGGCATATTCTGCTTTATTATTTCAAGAAACTTAAAAACGCAACTAAAACCCCAAAAATGATTTGTGCAGTGTATGTAGAAGGTGTGATGACCAATTGAATGCTTCAAAAGTACAAAGTTTCATGCTGGAGATTTCTTGCTGGAAGATGTTCCACAGTTGGGTAGACCAGTTGAAGTTGATAGCAGTCAAATCAAGACAGTCATTGAGAACAATCAGTTATACCATACGAGAGATAGCCAACATACTCAGAATAACCAAATCAATAAAGTTCCTGGTGAAAATGAAAACTGTTGTCTTTTATTTTATGGGAAAAAAACCATATGGACTTTTTAGCCAACCCAATAAAATCTTAACTACTTACCTTTTTTTTTAATCTTTTAAGTTTCTTAATACAGAAAGATTTAATAGGTCCAGAAAATGCACTAGCTGTGATTTCTAAACTCCAAGCCTAGATTGAAATACCCACTTCAAGAAGCTTTTCCCTTTTGAATAGTTAACCTGCTATATCCATAACAAGTACAAGCTTTGTCATCCTTTGACACCCAACTTTTTAAAGCTTAAAAAGTCTTATTTATTACCCTTGGTTCTGTGATTGCCCTTGAATGCTACCACCAGTATTTAAAAGGAAATTTAAATTTAAAAGGATAAGGCTTTTAATGATTTAAACAAGGAAAAAGTCATACTACTATACTCAAGATTTTAAAGATTTAAAAAATCCTGCCCCCTGCCATGTATCAGCAGGTTCTTGAGTAATTTTGGGTTTTTGCAGTTGTGAAATAATTGGTTCCTGGGTGACACATTACCTTACATTTTGTATAAAGATTCTTTTAAATAAGGTTTTCTTTAGTGAAGTTGACACAGCTTTATATTACTATCTTAATTACATACTTTTCTAATATTTGATATCAAAAGTGAAACTATCATTCTCTGCCTTAAAAATTGAAACTATAAAAGGAATATATTTAAGCCATGTTCACATTAAAGAAGGATTTGGTGAGTGGTAGTTAAGCACAGGTGCGTATTAACCACTGTGTACTTTGGTGTAAGTCAAGGAGTGGAGTGGTTTAAAGGATTGTGAAAAATAAAAATGGGGAAAAAAGATTGAGCTTATTGTAGAAAAATTATTTCCAAGACTTTCTAATAAAGTCTCTTGTAAAGTGAGCTATACTTAATTTATTTTTAATATATATTTGAGCCTTATTTAATTTTTTCCTTTTCTGAAACAACTTTGGCAAGTGTAGTCCCTTGTTTACATAATAGGTAACCAGTACTAATTGATCCTGGGATTAATGTTTATTTTTTTTAATTTTTCACTCTTATAATTGGATGTCTTGTAGATGTAGATTATAAAACTAAATAAGATACATATGGTAATGTTTAATTTAAAATTTCATAGGCACCTTGATTCTTTTGTTTTTAACAAAATGTACTGATCACAGGGCTTAACTGGAAACAAACAAACAAAAAAACCAAACCAAAAATGATACCACAGCTTGACATAACCAAAGTCTTACACAGAAGACAAAAAGGACAGACCATCTGAGGCAAAAATAAGGACAACGCAGGGAGACAGGCTGGACAGCCGGGTTGGGGCTCTTGGAAGGAGACCTGCTCTAATGTTCCTTGCAGATTCTTAAAGGGTGTGGGTGTTTCCAGAATTCAATGATATGTGTGTTCAGAGGGCTTTTGATGTTGGGTTCTCCCAGCAGGCCCTGCACAGAGAGCAGGGTGGTCCTGGTATCACAGGGCTGACCACTTGTCCTCCAGGATGTCCAGGCAGAAGGGACTGGTGTCCATGTGTTGGTGGTGGTGGCAGGGCGTGAGCTTCCCTGCGGGTGTGCTGTGAAGATGGGTGCTGGGATAGTATCCTCTGGGGAACCCTGTGAGGAGAGACCTCAGGTCTTCACAGACTTCTGGTCGGTCCTTCCCTGCCTGTCCACCGTTGGAACAGGCAGTTTGAGTCAGGAAAGGCAGAAGTTCTCTTGCTGCAGGATTATCCTAAGGTGGCTGCTGGGTTTCAGGTCTGGAAGACTATGCCCACCTTGATCCTTTAATAAAAGTAATGCCAGTTGAGGACTCAGTCAGTAATACTGAATCCTTCAGTATCAGGCACTGTGCCAAATGATGATTACTGTATCCATTCATTGTAGAAGACTTTGAAAAATAAGCAAAAAGAAAACCAGACTACTCTCCCAGGTATACACAATTAATGCTTGGGTATATTTTGGTTTTTTTGTGTGTGTGTTTTAAATCTTAAATTCTTCAGGACAAATTGTGAAAGTAGTATATGGTAGCTAAATTTTGGGAAATTCTGAAATTAGAATTAGGTTAACGATGAATTTAAATTAATGTGACCGGCTTATAATGGAGTGTTATGGGATAATTAGAGCTATTCCCCATGTCTTTCAGGGTATCTTAGACCCCCCAGAAAAGTAGCAACACAAGTCCACATTCTTTGCCAGTAGGCAACAATTCCTTTCTATTTACTTCAAGGGTACCTGATGTTATGATACCTTCTATTCATCTAAATGTAACTTTATAAAGAAATTGTGGAATCTTTAGTTACACACAAAGAGTTTATACATTTAAACCTTTCTGATTTTTCTGTAATCCTAAAATTGGCATTTGTAGTGTTCTCTTTATCACTGGCTGACTTTAAACAAGTCTTAATATGTTTGAATTAGGAGAATTATTTTTTTATTTTACAGATGAATTATACAAATTAGAATTGTGGAATATTTTTATTTCTTTGAATACTTCAAGACATTTCTGTTGAGGAAGCATTGTTGCTTCAAGTTTATGAATTTTCACTGACAGAAAAATCAGTTTCAGAAAACCTCCCACGTAAGCTTCTGAATCTTGGTTTTTGCAGATATATCAACATATTTCTATCCAAAATGGCCATTCATTTCACCCGTGATTGATGGGTCAATCTTAACTTCCACTCTCAACATTTGATTTTAATGTAAGAAGCTGTTCAGGACCGTTCTTAAATCAGAAAGAGTGGCTTCATTTACAGACCATGCACTGCTCTCTGCATGGTACTGCTCCACAGTGGACACTCACTGTGGCAGAAAAGGCAGAAGTGACTCCAGGGGGACTGTTCAAGCAACCATTTTCAGCAAGCCAAGTTGGACGTGAAGGGAGAAAACCTCTCTTTCGTGGTCATATCATTCAGGCTTTTCACTGGAACGCAATGCTTTATGTAGGGCTTTGAAAAGGGGCAGCCATTTTGGATTCCTTCAAGATTTGTATTCTCAACAATTCCTTCTGTCCTTCTGGTTTATTGTGTTTAGAGGCAGTAGAATAAAGAACTGGAGTAGCGACCTCCCACACCATATACCTGAACAAATGTCCACACAGCGTGGCAGATGGCCACAGGGGTGCTGAAGCATCAGAACAGCGGGGAGAGCGTGGACATTGCCGAGGAGGCCGTCTTCTCCCGGGCGCCTGTAGGTCAAACCTAAGCTGAGAAGAGAGGTACTGGGGCCTACTTCAAGACTTTTTAAAAATTTGGAGTAATTTCATATCAACAGAAAAGTCGCAAAAGTAGTTACAGAGTTCCTGTATACCCTTTATCTAGCTTCCCCTAATGTTGACATCGTATGTGTTACCTGCTTATCAAATTTAGTTTATGAAAACTAAGAAGTTAACATTGGTGCAAAACAATAGTTAGTCAAACTATAGACTTTATTGGGGTTTCACAGTTTTTCTGCTAATCTAATGACCTTTCTCTATTCCTGGACCTTATGTAACACTATAATACCTTTTAGCTATTCTTTCTCCTCAGTCTGTAAGTTTCTTAATCTTCCCTTGTTTTCCTAGATACTGGTGTTTTGGAAGAGTGCTGGTCAGATAGTTTGTAAAGTGTCCCTCAATTCTAATCTATCTGATAGATTCTCGTGATTTTGCTGGGATGATCATTTTCTGGGGAAGAAGGCCACAGAGTGGAAGTGATTTTCTATTACATCACATAAGCGGAACATGATATCACTGAGACTTATCACTGGTGATATTAACCTTACCAGGCTCTTTCTCTGTTGGAGAGCTACATTTTTTTCAATTCCACATGTATTCTTTGAAAGTCAGCCATAAGTCCAACACCTGCTCATGGAGGAGAGGAATTAAGTTCTATTGCCCAAAGGGGGTATTCACATATATTATTTGGAATTTTAATGTATGGGAGATTTGTTACTTATCATTTAATTAATTTTCATATAGGCTTAAGGGCATATATTTTATTTTTGTGTGTTATAAAATACTATGATTATTTTGAAACTCAAATTATTCTTGCTTTGGCCTTTGGGAGTTATGTCCTTTGACATGACCTCCCTTTCCCCCCTTAGCCCTTCCTCACTTTCTAGCACTACAAGATACTCTAGGCTCATCTTCATACATTCTTTGCCCTAGCCCTAGAGTCAGCCATTTCTCTAAAGAACTATTCCTTTA